TATAAAGTAGGATAGGAATGTTTATCTGACATTGCTTTTTCTTGTATCCTGTGTGGACCCTATTGGAAAACCCAGAATGATTCAATACCGGCTTGAATCTGTATAGACGGTTGTCAAAAGTGTTGAATCCACTGCGAGACTCTGGATGGGAGGGAGTTCTCGTTTAATGACTGAAGTGTTGTTTTGCCAAAACTGATTGCAAGGTCTCAACGCTTCCTCGGAATCGGAAGGGATTACGTCACTCTAGAGTTTAAAATAAGTGATTATTCTTCAACGCTCAAAAACCTGCAGACCTATCCACTACCTTGCATTTCTTACTAGTTTTTTGAATCGTGTAGTGGAGCACGCCCTATGTATGGGAATAAACTATCAAGGCGAGTTAAATTTGCGCAAGACCTTAATGGTTAATAACAGCTCCGGTTCCATCATCCACAACGTGTCTCTGAACTCTCCATTCAAAAAATGAGTGATGGAGCATACGCAATTGAGCAAAACATTAATCAAATCCTTTATTCTTTATAAAAAGTCTGTGGTTACGATGAATAAGATAATTACAGCTGACGAGTAAAACGCTGCTTCGTTCCTTTCATCTTTTCCTTCGCCTGAAGCATACATTCAAAAGTGAAAATAGCACACCCTGCTCTCTTCATTTTTTCATCACAGAATTCCAAGCAGCTGAAGAATAAACAAGATGGTTTCATAAAAGATTCAGCAGTGAATCCTTCCAGGTACTCATGCTACTTTTTAGTACTTCCCATTCATATCAGTCCGGTCGCCCGGCTTTATAACAGAATTCCAAGCAGCTGAAGGATGAACAGTATGGTTTCATGAAAGATCTTCTCGAAGCATAGGTCAAAAACCGTATAATATCGGCTAGGAAACGTTTCCAATCACAATTATGAGCTTAACTCTTGATCTGCGCTCTAGCGCTCAATGTTTAAAAAAAGCGAAGGTTCTCCAACCACATTATCACCCTGGATTTTGGTATAGACATTCATTGTACGATGCCAGTACAGATCTAAACCTCAGTTTTGAAGTGCCCGCTTAACTACACATAACTCACTTCACTCCGCAGCACTCGCTCCTTAACCTACCCACCAATTTACTGTTTTATAGGTAAGAAGGGAATAAAAAATAGAGCTGAATTTCCCATATCACTGCTTTATCATAATCATAAGTTTCACGAAAGGGCAGACAGACACACTGACACACCAAATTACTGCTTTATAAATGAGAGAGATAGTTTTCAAAAGCGTAATTTTAGATTAAAGCGGTTTTTGAGATATCGTTTCGATGAACCATTGTTCCACAAGAATAGAACAAGGGGCGCTATCAGATCTATGTTCTACGTAACAAGGCCCCAAAAACGGCTTAGCCGACGTACACAGCCAAGGCGGACGAGTTTTGATAGGGGTCGCGGAGGATGCAGAGCTTGGACCATTGGCATCGGAATGCAAGCATTGCGCGCAAGCATTCGGACAGATTCTAGATACTCCTTCCATGCATATTTTTGTCGACACATTCTCGTCCAAGCACTAATTTTACTATTAGGTTGATGCTTAATTATTACGGATTTTTCTTCAACAAATTTTATTTAAAAAACGATTGAAATATCAGCAAAGAGATGTTTACATAATTACTACGGAACTTATCCACCATTCACGTCAGGCACTGTTTCCCATTTGCTAGGCAATCGGATTTTCAGAAGAGGAAGTTTCGATTCTTGGAGGCGATCCACGCATTGACATCGACCATCAAGTCATCCATCCATAAGTTCTGTTCGCTAGCTAATCTTTCATCAAACGGTTGACGTGATAATTCAAAGGAGTCTCTGTTGGTGAATATGGCGAATTCAAGAGCAAATCCCATTCCTTACTAGACTTTGGCTCACTGTCCCATCGCCGAAAAGTTGTTGAGATCGCAAAAGGGCTCTGCCAGCTTCCATCCTTTCTCGAAGTGGTAGAGAATAATGTGGCGAAGATGACCCTCCAAACACATTTATGTTAAGGGAAGCGAGAAGATTATTCCTGCTAAATCTCTAACCCAATAGTCAAATTGTATCCATAGAAAAAAGCCGCGAAAAAATCTGCAATAATTACGCATCAACCTATCTCTGGAGCCTTATATTCTTCAAATACGTCGATTACCACGTTTTGTTCGCAATTTTTGCTTTATTCTAGGCTATCACTTCCATTATTCGTCCCAATCAACGCTAAAATTATAGTCGACAGTGCAATTAACCTTTCCTGTTGGGGTATTGATGAGCAATATTTTCTACTAGATGGTGCACGGCCACGGTAGCCAACACCCTATTTGAATTCTCTCAGGCAATAGTCTATGTCCCAAATTATGGGCGCCAATTCATAGCAAAATATTTGAAGCTTTTCAGCTGCGGAAGACGGTGGAATTTCTATGCACCTTAGCTAGCACCATTTGCTACAACACGCTACAATCACATTACAAAATCCCCCCATTAGCGCAGATAGAGACCCAAAGCCTGCTCTCGACTTGGTCGCATGTCACACGATGCAGATATCCTTCTCCATTTCTTCCCAGCCGTTCTTCAGTCTTGCTTTCTAGGACTCCAAACTAGGGGTACAAACTCGACAGTCCTAATCGAATCAGGGACCATACGGGGAGTCAAGTGAGCCAAGTTCTGGAAAATAGGATGGCCATTACTTTTTACCAATAAAGTCGGTTAAGATGTCGTCGGCACCATTCGCGGGTAAGCTTGACTCTGTGGGCCGGAGCACCGTTCTGCCGGAAGGACTACTAGATGTTCCAGGAAACGAAGCCGGATCAGTGTTTCAGTGCGTTCATCAGTACGCTCTTTGAGCAGTGGTCTTGGTCAATTTTTACGCCATCAGCAAGAAACGACGAGCGGCTCACCCTTGCCAATGACTTTTTCGAAAAATCACTTTGCTGTTCTTATAGCAACCGTACTGCGAGAGATTGTACGCTAGATGTTCCTTTCCGGAAGGCGAACATTTCGGTTGCTGATGGATGGTGTTATCGTAAACAATTTTTTGGCCAGAGAAAGCGATGAAGGGTTGCGCATCATCACTCAAGTGCGTCTGCGAGTTTCTGCGCTTTATGGCCCTGCAGTGTCTGTTGAGATCGGATTTGAACGAAATTTCTGCATACGATAGGAATGGCAATGAAGCTTCTGCATGACATTCTTCCACCACGGTACCTCCGTTGAATTCCTTTTGATGGGTGACCCAAGATCATGACCGACTGGCAGACGGACCATTTTAATAGTCCTATCTTTGGAAACATTAGCCTTTTCTACCTTTCCTGGCTTGTTTCTGATTCAATATTCTTTTCAGTATCGTTTCATAGCCTCCTATAGGGTCATTATAAAAATCCCAAGGAATTTCATAATATTTGTGTTTGCCCTTTGGTCGGTATGCGTGTGTCTACGTATGTGTGTGTCTCAAGGAGTTCAGGCGTCAACACCGAAACGCTGACACTAGTGGTAGGTGATAGGAAGTGTCTTAGCCGATTGAGAACCCAGTGGTTTTCTCCGCTGAAACCTTTTATCAGTTGTGATTACTTTTCATCATCCGTTATATAGGCTCAATCACACCCTACATCATGCAACGAAGTAGCAAAGCTCCGCTGTTGATTCGAGAAATTAATCCGGTTGCTCCACCTTCTATCTCCTAACGACCCTTATCAGTTGTTATCAGACCCTGCCACCAGCCATCCAAAGTTCCTCCGCATACCCTTCACATACCAAGAGGCAGACATTTCATTATCGGCACTGAGCGCCCAATGAGACCATCAAATTTGCCTTACATGTACACTCGTCGCTCCTTATCAGGAGTTATCCACTCTTCTCAATCATCAGCAATTAAGCGTCATAACCCTCGTCAATCAACAAAGCTGTGCAACAGAACCAGTGACTTTTGCCTTCTATGACTCCTTATCTGCCCCTATCGGTTGTTATCACTTCATATACTGAATCTCAGGGAAAACGGCTCGACACTTCCGTCATCAATTCTCTACACTATCAAAACGCTTGCAAGCCTCAATTATTCTATCTATATTATGGCATTTTCTCGAGTGGAATAAGGAGCGTCTTGTGCATTTGAACTCGGTCACTTCATTGCTTACGACACGTGGTATATGGCGTATTGCAAAGTACGGCGTTCAAATTTCTGAAGTGAATCATTAGAGCGAACATGATCACAAGCGGAACTCACATATAGGTACCCTAGATAGGTACTTGATGACGAATGGCACTGTGGAGGCGTCCTCGTCTATGCAGAGATTTGGATTATTTCCAATACTTATAGCATTATCGGGTCTTTCACCCTTCCGGAGCCGGATTTCGAGGTTATATAATGCTTCCAAGGACGATAGCTTCGAGTTATCCTCGATAATAAGAACTGGCCCTTTTTTAGGTTGCTTCAGAAGAACAAGATTCTTCAATTTCGGGAAGCCAGTGGCGTTGCTCCCTTTGAGCGATAGTGTTCCCACTATCACCTCGACCTGGTCTAGCATGCTTAATCTGTCATGATATTCAGTAAGTTCGATGTCATCCGAAATGACTTTGCACACTCTGTTCAATGGCTCCTCCAGAGGACAGGCTGAAATATTTCTATGACAAAAGCAGGAACGCGCATTTCTTCGGAAACAAATAAAATTTTTGTAGGCAATGTACAAAGTTGCTAAGGGCCTCTTTTTGAGAGAACCGCAGCGTACCTCATGAGAAAATATTATTTTTCCTCTGAGTTCGTCCTGCCATCAACTCGATAAACTAAGGTCATTACAAAATTTGAAAGTTCCTATCTTTTCCACTAGATATAGGCTTCTAGTAATACTATCATTGATTGCAAGCATGGCAGAATGGTAGGAGTATAGGCTCATGTCTGAGCTTGGGAAAAGCACGAATTTGATCTCTGTCGTGGCAAAAACCATGGCTTGCAAAAATTGAGGAAATGGTGTCGGCACCAGCGTCAAGCCCAAGTTAACAGGCGGCCGATGGAAAAACCATGTTAAAAATCATGTCAGAAGTCTCCTAAGAAATCACTATGGAAGCTACCACGTCACCTTAGCGCAATACCCCCGCCCGAATTTCATGAACGTGTGTGGAAGCTACCGAAGAGTGAATGACCTCGGCCAAAGAAGTTAGTTTGAATAGGGACCTTTCAGGCTGATCTCTTCCTGAGAAGCCACGGGAGAAGCTGATCCAGCTATGTGCTATTAGAAATATTCAAATCTAATGCTTCCAGGGGAAACGCTGAAAAGGTGCAAAGGCAAGAGAGCTTGGAGGGGGATTGTCAAGCCTACTATACTAGGGGAGGCACGGAACAAAATGCCGTGGCCATAGCAGTATTGGTGTCCGAGTCCCTCAAGGACTCTCTCTCTCAGCTGTCAACAGTATTAGTGATCGAACAATGGCTGCGAAAGAGGGGTTTTAAAAAGAAATATGTGTGAACGAACCACAAGCTAGCTGCCTCGGTTGCGGAAATATGAGTCTTATCTGGCCCTCGAAAATACCATCAGATCGATTCCGGATGGGTGATCTCATTAAAGCGCATGATCGCGTGGTCTAAATGACTATGTCGTGGTGAACCTGGGGACTTGGAAAGGGTTTATAGGGGTATAGAAACAGGAGCCAGAAACGAAGAAGAAAAGAGGATCGTTGACATGACCACATCCACGACCCAAGTAGACCTGACCACACCCACCACCTAAGTATGTGACACAATTATACGAAAAGGGAAACTCGCCTACAACAGTGCAGGGAGACAAACGGAAGTTGATCTTGTACTTGCAAGAAGATCGTCTCTCAATACTGGAAAGGTCATCAAGATTATAAATGGTGAAGATCAGCACAGTTCTCTCCGAGCAAAAGTAAATACCGAGCTTTTCTTGAAATCAGAGGCGAAACGAAAAGGAGGATCCGGTGGCGGCAGCTGTGTAGAAAAAGAAGACCTCAAACGGAAGATAGCGTGAGCTGGTCTCACATCCTGGAAAACTAACTAAGCAGACCTGGAGCCACAACGTGAAAGCCGAGAGAAGACGGATCCTACGGTGTGCGAGGAAAACGCCGGGAGAGATTTGAGGACACCAGAGAGCGTAGTTTTAGAATGATTGAGTTCCGCGAGTTATGACAGAAGAAAGACGCCTATAAGAGTTAGCGAAAGATACAAGCTCCAGAAGACCATACCGTCTACAGAAGTTACAAGAGGCCGACAGATAAAATACGAAAATGGACCGAGACATCAGAGTAATGAGAGATGTTATCCTGAAGAAGCCTGATGAGGTCAGCCATAGATGGAAAGAACACTCAGGTTAGGAAAGAACATTCTGGTGGCTGCTAAACGAAGAATTCCAGTTCTCTAGCAGAGGCGTTGGTTCCCCCCATAGGTCCTTGGACTGAATATAACGTCCGTCGAGCTGTGGGCAAGATGAAAGTTGGAAAGGTTTCTGGTCCGGATGGGGTGCCAATCGNAAGCCTGATGAGGTCAGCCATAGATGGAAAGAACACTCAGGTGAGAAAAGAACATTCTGGTGGCTGCTAAACGAATAATTCCAGTTCTCCAGCAGAGGCGTTGGTTCACCCCATAGGTCCTTGGACTGAATATAACGTCCGTCGAGCTGTGGGCAAGATGAAAGTTGGAAAGGTTACTGGTCCGGATGGGGTGCCAATCGCGGTGTGGATTACTGAGAGAGCGGAATCAGATGGCTCATACGGTCCCTGAGCACAGTGACCACTGAGAGATGAACGACAAGACAGCCATACGCACCTCTCATGGCTTAACAGAAGCAATAGGAGTTGCGATTTGGGTACATCAGGGACTAATTCTGAACCCGTTCCTTTCCTTATAAACATCATCACGGAAAAATGCGAATGATATCTCTCCGGAATCGAAAAACAGAAAAGCATTCCAGCACAACCTGCAGAAGTGGCGAAACTACGCGGAAAAAATGGACTCCGATTGAATGTTAAAAAGACGAAGATCCTCAGTTCCTTCAGTCCTCAGTACTGCACAGAGCCAATCGTAGACGGTCTCTGGGAAGTCATCAAAAGAGCACAGGACCCCAGTTATCTGGAAAATGAGATATATCTGCCAAAGGTTGCGCCACCAGGCTGTGAAGGCTCGTCGCGGATCACGTCCGTCATAATACCGCGTGACCGGCATTATGCTTGATCGACAAAGCTCCAGCACGCTTCAAGGAAAGGTGTATCGAAAAGTGGTTGGGCACACGATGTTCAAGGCAACGACTGCTAGCCTGTAAGCAGTGCTCATGAAAAGCAGTTCAATTCACTAAAATGAGAAGGAAAAGAAGACGACAGGGTGCAAACAGTCCCTGTCCACTAGAAGATGAGAGTGCAGAATCCGCGATGATACGGGCATGTACTAAGAAACCATGAGTTGTTCAGTGACAAGGTGTTTGAAGTCTAGGCTCATTTTTGCGACCATGAGGAACTCGAAAGAAGTGGTTGTGGGATGTGATAAAAGAGGATCTCGTCAAAGCCAAACTAACGGTAGAAGACGAGCAAATAGGGGAGGTGGCTAACGAGAACAGTGAACCCTGCGAAGATTCGGAATTGACGTTGAAGAGAAAATGAAGAGTAATCTGAGCTCTGAAATCTCACCCAAATGTCTGTTAAGTCAACAGCGATTGTTTCGAAAATCTCCTCTTAGTTCTCCCTTTCGAAGCAGTCCTTTATTTTTTCCTACGCAATTAACCTCCCGTTCAGCAGCTCTGCATAAGCGGTTAGTATACATTCTGCATAGTTTCAGCTTTTTTGGATCGACCTTTTAATTCATTCGATTTCGCTAGAGACTTCCCGAAGAGAAACCTCTTACTGTACTATTTCCAGCATAAATTAGAAGTTGGAGAAGCTCTTATTCGTCGGAATTCTGATTGGTAAATCATTCTCGCAATGAATCATAATTTCTAGTTTATTTCATTACAGTGAGAACGATGAAGTGTATGTGAATATCACTGATTAATTGTCACTACATCTATGATCTCCTTTAGTGCACGGAAGAAATATGGTTTATTTGTAAGCACATTTTTGATTGTGGTGTTCTAATTGGAAGTGTCCAAGTCCTGTATGCTTTGGAAGGGCTTTACAACACAGGAACGAACTTGTGATTACGGTGCATAAATAAGTGAGTGAAGAAGAATGTTTTGATGATTCTCCCCATGGGCGCAAAATTCTTCATGAAACCCCTAAGAAAAACTGCACTAAGAAAACTTACTGAAAGGTTCTTGGATGTTCGCTAACGCATTCGGTGTGCAGTGTTTCTTGTGGCATTCGTCAATCAACTGATTAGTATTCATTCTAGGATTTCCGCGAATGATGAATTGGAGACTGCTGCCATCTTCGAAGGTAAATATTGGCAGTGTTTCCAAATATCGGTTATTAACCAACTCCAGGACTCCATCTGAGATACGACAGTTCAAAATGCTGCTATGGCATAAAACTTATAAAGAAGGCGAGGGCAAGCGGAGCATCAATAGTGTAAGAGATAAAGAGCACGGTGCCCTGAAAGCACAAATACGGGTACGAGTCCCGCTTGAGGACGACAAAGTTCTGCTCACAACTGGCCACCCTTGTGAGTTCAAAATCGAAGCAGTCTACTGGTAGACCAATAAACAACACCTTTTATCCTTTTTTTCATAGAGTTCTTCACTAGAGTTGAGGAGCTTTGCAAAGGTGTTCGAGTTGCAAAACAGGGTGAAGCTCTACTATTTCTATCTCTCCTCCCTCGCCCTACCACTCCCCCAGCCCCACCAAAGTTGTTGAATTGGTTCAAGATTTGTCTAGGAGCATAAAACGTTGACTTATACATCGGCCAACCAACAAGTCATTGCGAGGCCACACGCACTTTCAAAGACCACTATGATTCCGAGTGGGAGTCGAATGCTCGGGCGCCTCCTACAAACAGAATGATCAAGGCGAGTTTCCCATTAGAGTGGGTCAGCTCGGAAAGATTACATTCCGGCAATACGCAATGCACAACACTAATCAGTTTTGATAGAATGAGACGAAATGCAGACGGAAAAGGGGCCATTGTTATAATAAAGCAGTTGTATTGAATTTGTGAAAAGGCTCACTGGATTCGATTCTTATCGTCGGAGCGTCTACGAGATTTTTTAGATTACTATTGTACAGTGTTAGCCTCCGTATTTCGAGGGCTTTCCGTATTTTCTGGAATGAACAATATTCTTTCCATCGTATCTATGAGTTGAAGACAGAATCAGTTTCCTTCACATACCAGCAGCGGTATACCTATGCACAAAACATTAGAATTCAAACATTACTAATATTTCCTTTATTAGTATTTCTCCCGATATATCTGTCGTTGACTTCTGTTTTTTTTNACCCTTCGGAATTTGTACTAACTCTTTTCCTCCTAGTGCATGTACTGCATTTTATCAATGGTGAAAGATCTTCGTAGATGGAAATACATACACCCTCGGTAGCTTTCTATCTACGCAACGATTCCTTGTATTGTGACCCATCCCCTCCATACACT